CCACATTAACATGGCCAGATTCACTCTGCCAATATTCAGCAGGTATCTACAGTGCCAAAACAGGATCTTCCAAACAAACATGCAATTGTCATGTCTGACAAGAAAAACACAGATAAGGAGAAAGATACCACACATGGGTAGCTGATGCTGTTTTCTCAGTGCAGAGGGAACAGCATCCCTGCTCCAGGCTGTCCTGAGAGCCCTGAGCCTCATTTCCCACGTGCAGCCACAGTAACTGGCAAACAAGTCAGAAATAAAGCACACGGTAACCCCTAAAAACAGTGACAGCTCACAGCATAAACAGGAAAGCATCACCAAACAGCCTCTGTCACTTGGAACAGCTCTGGGAGGGCCTGGGCAGAGATCTGAGGGTGGAAACTGCAGATGTTAACCCAGAGATGACCACAGGCAGGGAAGTGCAATCTGCATTAACCTCTGAGCAATGTGCTGATCAGGACAGGCCCTGGGTAGTTGTGGGTATTGTGGAACTGCTAAAATGCAGCTGACAGGAATTTTTCCATACAAGTCATACCCTCTTACCTTATTTTATAACCCAAACCCATATATCATCCATCATTGATAATCACAAACCTTGCTGTGTGCAAACAAAACCTACCAACACAAAAGCAGCACCTGAAGAAAGGACAGACCCTTTCTTGAATCCTAACAAGAAGAACTCCCTCAGTTTTTCCAGTGAAAAAGCAGCAAGCTCATTTAGATTGCTACACTGCAAGTGTTCCATTACAGATGCAAAACTTATTAAATCTGGAAAAGAACAGTGAAGCCAAGAACAAAGTGGAAATCCTTGACTCTGGCACCGCTTTACAAGCTGATTTGTTTGAAGAATTCACAGTAAGAATCTGTATATTTTTAAGACACATTTCCAAGTCTTTCAACACTAACTACAATAAACCCACTTGTGTTTATGACTTGAACAAAAGACACAGCACAATTTAGTTTTGAACTGTTTATTTCACATGTTCCATCCTGGAGTTTCTTCAGTTAAAAGTTCCTGCAAGAAAATGAAATAAACATTGTTACAAATGAGTTTGCTTCAACAGCTCAAGTAAATATCTTTGACCAACTGTGTAATCATCCCATAAATACAATGTACAGACTGTCCTCCTAAAAGCTGGATTTGGGAATGGAAGTTCCCCCTGCAGGAGTGAGAGGGTAAGATAAACATACGTACTTGGACACAATTCCATCGTTTTTTGCCAGACGCAAAATGGAGTCATCTGATTCACCCTGTAGAGAGAGAAAAGGAAATATTCTCAAAGGAAATATTCTCAAGTGTCCAGATAATTGCTGACACATGTGGAAGAGAGGCAGCTGCAGCAGTTAGTGCAGATTAGTGTTTTCAAAATAAACTGTTGCTTTTTTGTCATCCTTAAGGGTACGGATGCATAAAAATATGCATCTGCATGAGCAACATATATTTATGGGTAAGTGGACTTGTGATGAACTCCTCATTTTAAAGTTAAGTGATATCATCTCCAGTAATTATAAACAACAGATAAAAGCTAGAATTAGTACCTTGGTATACATTCTTAAAAGAAAATCACTTACATATTTTAGTTTAAAAAAAGTAAAAAAACCCCCAAACAACTCCAGAAGAAGCTGATTATTCCAAGCAATCCAAGGCCCTGGCACAGGGTGCCCAGAGCAGCTGTGGCTGCCCCTGGATCCCTGGCAGTGCCCAAGGCCAGGCTGGACAGGGCTTGGAGCAGTCTGGGACAGTGGAAGGCGTCCCTGCCCAGGGGAGGGGTGGAATGAGAGGATGTTTAATGTCCTTCCAAACCAAACCTTTTGTGATTCTGTGAATTTGTTCATGTGTTCACTCTGCCCCAAAAACCCCTGTGGAAACACATTCCCCACAGTGTTTTCAGGGCCAGACACACAGCTAATTAGTGACTAATGATCAGCAGCAGCAGCACAGCATTCTGCAGGTCAGCAAGGCACTCACCATTCTCCGGATGGGGCCGCAGATGGCGTAAGTCTTGAACTGCCCATTCACCCTGCCTGTCACCTTGTCCACCTGCAACCACAGCAAGGTTTTACACTCTCACAGCACACATGACAAGCATCCTAAAGTTAAAAACTACAGAAAAATACTTGCAGTGTTGAGAAAATAAACCACAAAACCTCAAGGCAAACAGTGGAGTTAGAAAGTCAACTACAATGATCTTTGCACGGCAAATTTGTAGCTACACAGTGCAGCCATTAAATTTAGTGGATCACACAGATTGACAAGAATTGGTAGCTAAATGAAAAAAAAAAGATTTAAGTTCTGAACAAAAGGGAAAGCTCTGTGTAAAGTAGATTTTCCTGCTTTTACTCCTTTTTTTTTTGTTTCTCTTAACTGAGGTCATATAATGGAAAATTGAACTGAAGGGGCAAGGGACAGAGTTGATACATGGGTAGGAAAATGTCCAAGCTGAGACAGAAATTGTCTCACTTTCTCAAGCTGCTGAGACACTTAACAGGAAAAAGACTAAAAGATATAAATCATGGATTTAAAGACTGTAGTGAACCCTGTAATACCAGGTGGGCTTGTTTCCATGTTGTGCTAATCTCTGATCCTTTGAAAATAAGGAAAAGGGATCAGAAGGGAATAAGGATCATTCACTGAAAGAATGAAACATGGTGAACAAGAAAAGTACTTGCCTTAACAATTACATGAAATCAGAATCGGGGTGGTTTTTTAAAGTTTTGTGGTTTTTTTTTGGTGAGATAACTCACATGCCTCAAATTTTTAAAAGATGTGGGGATGTGGTCTCCCATTCACTACCAAATCAAGCTCTGTAGCTACAGGAACACTGTGTCCAAAAAATTCCTGAAAGCTGAATTTAATTAACAACTGAGGAAAAAAGAACCCCAAACCATGCCACAAGGAGCTTAAATTAGTTGGAACCCACATGTATTAACTGGGAACCTGCAAGAGTCAATGTGTATTGTACCTTTCTTTACTGAATTACTGAAGATACATCACAAGCTGTTTAATTCTGTAACTTTTATCAAAAACTTAAAGGTCTAGCTCTCCCATCACATATTCTGTGGATAAACTTACCTCAGAAATGTTAATCTGAATGGAAGCATGATCCTTAGCACCAATGATTCGGTTGCTAGCAGAGCTAAGGGATAAAGCAGGAGAGATTTAAACAAAAGGAAACAGGCAGTGACAGTGACAAAGAAAGCTGCTAGAGCCAACTCTACAGGCAAATCAAAACTGCACAAGAAATTCAGACAGTAACAGTTCAAGCTTTCATTACTTAGAAGATTAAAATGAAGTTTTAAGTACATTTAAAGGAAATTTTCACTTGGTAGCATCACTCTTATTAGCCAATTTTCCCTTCACTTTGGTTTCTATGTGCCCAGTTCACCTTCATACCCTGTACAGGGTAGTACAGGCCTTCAAAACACACAAAATGTTATTTTCTTTTCTAAATTGCAAAAATGCAGTCGAGGTAATGAATAAGATTAGTTCCTATGCCTTTTTTGCTGAGAGGCACTATAGCTGTCAAACACTCAGGTTGGGATACTCAGGAATCACAGGCTGTAAAACATATTTGGCTTAATCTAATGAAATTCATACAAGTAGCTTATTTTTAGTGACTTTTTAAACTGACAAGAAACTGATTTTTTCTCCCCCTACAGATATTCACTGCTACAAAAAGGTGCTGCACAGGTGAAGGTTCCAGGGATGTTTTTGGGAGCCCCTGCTCACCATTTCCGAGGGACATAAAGGTCCACGAACTCGCCGGCGTCGTTCTGCATCTCGGCCTGTTCCTGCTGAGGCACTGAGCAGAGACACCTGCCAGGAACATGGAATACAATGATTTGGAAGGGACCCACAAGGATCATCGAGTCCAAGTGCTGGCCTTGCACAGACCCCCCCAACAACCCCACCCTGGGCATCCCTGGCAGCGCTGTCCAAATGCTCCTGGAGCTCTGGGGCCGCGCCCATCCCCCGGGGCAGTGCCTGGTTCTGGGGGAAAACCTTTTCCCAAAATCCACCCTCACCCTCCCTGACTCAGCTACAGCCTTTCCCTTGAATTTC